TCGTTTCAAGACAAACATTAAGTGTGTATAAGGAACTCGGTGTTACGATGTTAATGATTCCAGAGTTGTATTATTTTTCACGAGTGATCACTTGTCGCAGTACACGACTTAATAATTTTTTTTTTAAATAAATAACAAAACATATTTTATCATGAACGAACAATTTAAGTGTATTTTTCGCGTAACAGTAACAGTATTACTTGTCCTGTAATATATATAGGTACTATATATAATAACTACAAATAATCATTATTACAAGAGAAAGATGATGAAAATACATAACAAAAAAAAAAAAAAACACTTTCACTGATCATTATTTTGTATTAATATCATTGTACCGTCGTTGTATAAAAATAGATTATATTCAACAAAGACTTTGTCAAGCTACAACTTTTTTTTAAGAGTAGACATTATTTCATAATACAGACTGTATATTGAGTGATAATTATTATTATAACAATTATTCTTCTATTACTATTTAATATATATATATATATATATATATATATATATATATATATATATATTTATAACCTATAATTTATACATTAAATGTGTATGTTATATGGAATGGATAAATCAACTCCCTATAAAAATAAAAATACAAATTTAAATAATTTAATTGTTAATAAATCAAAATGTAATATTATTTAAAATTTTGTGAATAACGATTGGTTTTATTTTTGTCATGAATGAAATGAGTACCTACAACAAAAAAGCTTACCCAAATCTCTGAAAAAAATTTGTACACACCCTATATTCATTACCGATTCTTTTCGGTTTAAGTTAATTCATTAAGAAATGAAACCATAGAATGCTTAAAACAGAATGGAAACTGATAAGAAAATACAAAGGCACTTTAGGCCGCCCAAAAATATGGTCTGTCATATTATAAGTGCTTATTAGTGTAGACCTAAAATGTAATATGAAATATTTTAAATTCAATAAATACACTGGTATACAATATTTATTAATTGCATTTCACAGTATATCATATAATTGATCATTAATGAAAAGGATTTTATTTTTCCAACATTAGCCAAAAAATTGTATTGAAAATAGACCTAATTTGTAGCTCGTCCATACAAATAATTCAAAAATAAAAAGTTTTTCAAAAAACAAAATTAATATTTATTTTTTATGTCAATTATAGTTGCTGTTATTCTGTAATACTTAGAATATAATATCATTCAACTAATTAAAACCAACGGAGCAACGAAGTCAATTATATTAATTGTTTTTACAATATGAAAAATTAAAGAGGCAACAGTTTTTTCTAGAAAAAAATGTATTTAAAAGGGAATAATTTATTTTGGTCTGACATTTTATGTAATACCAAACATAGATCAACTATATATTTGGATATATAATCTACATACTCGTATACCTGATATAAAAATAATTTAAAAATTGCATTTTTAATCTATTTAAGTTTATTAGTTTATTACCAAAAAAAGTTTTCACAACAATCGTAATTAATAGTAAAAAAGCACGTGGAAAATACCATAAAAATCACCAGTAAACAGAAGTAAACGTCTTTAGTCGGCTAATTATATTTTCTGACGAGCCATTCAATTTTTTAGTTAGGTTACAAAACAAAACATTACATTTTATGGTTTGTTTACAAAACTCTTGATAAACAGTGTATGTAAACGATACGGAAATAATACTATCATTTTTTTTCTACCTGGGATAATTATATAACCCTTTCAAGATGGCGGACTAATATTTGGGCTTTTATCTGTTACGTGATGTGACTTTGAATCACTGTTACAACATTTGACAAGAAGTCGAATGAAATGTCAAACAAAACTCGAAATTCATTGTTTCATGTACGAAAATATTCTTTATATTCCGTCCAGGCTCCACAACTCAATAGAAAGTTAGATATTTTATCATTCAATACAAGATAGTAGTAAATATTCAACTGATTATTTCGTATGTACACACACACACACACACACACACACACACACACACATATATATATCCATTCGCATTTTCTCTTACAAGTATCATTATCATTTATTTATAAGAGAAACGTGTATTGCCAACGGTAGAAGTGTGTACCTTAATCAACGTCAAACGTAGCAAAGAGAAATCAACGACGAATTGAGGTACCTCTACTAATTATTGTTATTACCCGAAACCGGTACAGTTTTCACGATCAATTCCCAGAACACACACACGTGGCGCGTACATGTATACGAAAAGTATAAACGTATAAATCGATAATTTTCAACTGGTAAAACGCAACGTACAATAATGCATTTTCGTGTGTAGCGCACACACGCGCGCGGAAAATACCTACACACGCGCTCTTTAATCGGTCACATTCCAATTAGACGGTTTCTGTGTCAGTAAGCCAAACCGTTAGGAATTTACACGTATACGTACCGACCACTTTTTTTCTTTTTTTTTTTTTTTCATTTCCCACGACTTGCGTTTCGTCGTGCGACGTCCACGCGCGGTTATTGTATCGCGGGTACGGTCGTCGCGACGGGTTATCCGTTGAACTCTTGTACGACCTTTTGCGAGACGTCGTTCCGTTCGCGTTCATTATTTACGATGCCCCAGCGCTGGTCGGGCAACGCACTCGTCCGACGGAACGTTGCGCGTAAACAATGACGATGAACGCGCGCGCTGGCAATAACGGATTCGTGTCGGGTTTGAACCCTCGAGTCGCGGGTCATCGTCTACGTTACCGCAACGTCGACGTCGGATTACGTAAATAAAAGTGTGTGGAAACCGATGACGTTTGAAACGGATCGAAACGGAGCAAGGAACAACACTGCCGGCGTTCACCGCGGGACGGTCGTGATGCGGCCGCGGTTCGAATACGTGCGCCGGACCTCGGTGGAAACCGTGTGCGCGGTTGTGAAACGGTTTCTACTCCATGCTTTCTTCGGTAATCGAACTATTTGTTGTCGCTCGGAGGCCGTGTACCCGTCGGTAGGTACCCATGTGTTACCGGACCGTCCGACCGCGTATTACCATTTCGGTTCGGAGTCGTTGCCGTGCAAGTTTTCGTTTAGGTTTTAAAATATTTTCATTTTTTTTCGCACAACATTCGATCAACGCTACGAAAAAATCCATCCCGTCGAACGGGCGCCCCGAACCGAACAGCCTAGTAAGCACGCGCTATTAGAGTTTTTCGCTTTCAACCGAACAAATGTAAAACGATCGTGCCGTTGTGTTTTTCAACATCGTACGTTTTCAAGACACCTCATTATTTAGTTCTTTATTTCGTTGCAACGTACGCGATCGAATTCAATTTTACGCGTTGGGACCCTAGTCGGACAATTAACGCATACTTAGATATAGAACACTTGGGCGGAAGGAAGTAAGGCATCGGCTTCGTGTTCTCTGAAAAAACAATCGTCGTCGCCCGATCCCATTGTGTTGGATAATTGTCACAACTTTAAGGTTATAGAACCTTAGGTAATTATATTCGTTTCTATTAAATTGTATTATTGATCATAATAATTTTGTATTGGTTATAATTCTTAGACAATGATAACATGTATACAATTGATAGCAAAACCCGTGTTTTTAACATTTTTTTTTTTTCTCGACAGTTATCCAATTAATTTTTCTCGATCAATTCAAATAGCTGTTATGCAATACCAATTTATTTTGATTTAAATTGAAAATACCAAAAATACGGTTTGATAAAAATGTAAAAGTACTATACGTTAAATATATAGGAATAAAGAATGATTTCAAAATGTTTATTTAATAATTTCCAATCGTCTAATAGTGTTCTATACATACTCGTACAATACGTGAAATCAACAGAGGGTATATGTGTGTCTGATAGAGTACCTGTTCTGTTCACTTTATTCATTATTTATTTATTATTGTGATATTTTTGATTTACACATATTAGTTAATTCCCTTTATTATATTTTTACATGATATGCAACAATACAGCATTAGTATTGTTGTGGTATGAAATCGTCAGGTTTTTTTTTTTTTTGTAACATTTCAATTGAAATTAAATTTTCTTTTTTTAATTAAATTGAGTAATTAACTTAAGTAAAATTAACGTAATTATTTTTAAGCATGTAGTATAGGTTGAAATACAAAAAAAAAAATTCGTATACACGTATGATTCTTACTACAATTACTTTGGAGAAATGCATTGTTGTGTGACCAATTGATCTTTCCGTGACCTTTCTGTGAAATTGTTTACAAGTCCGCTGTAATAGAATAAAAATAACGTATCAATTTTAAAAACAATATTTTTATTATTCAAGTATACTCAACATATATACTGGTTACAAATATTAGACGATCGACTCTTATGTACGATTCATATATAATTCATATATAAATATTCTAACGTATAAGTATAACGGTGGAAATGCAAATACTAATGAGGTGTTCAAAATTAAAACGTTTGTATTTGTAAATCGGAAGAAAACCAATATTTTATGTATCCCTGAAATTTTAGTAGTATCCAAAACCGTTTAAACTCAAATGGTTGGTCGAAAAAAAAATTTGAAACTTTGGTATGTACAAAATCAGTCATGAAAACGAAAACAAAATAACCTTATGGAAAATCGGAAATTTTTCACCCGATTTTTATAAATTTCAAATTGATAGTAATATTGTACACTACAAAATGGATATTAGTTTATTTCCTTTGTGAATTACATATGGTTTTATTCGAAGGAATAATTTTTTTATTTTTTCAAGAAATGAAATAATGTACTTAATCATTATTTTTAGATCCTTTAATATTTTCATTCGAAATGTGTTTACAAGTGAAAAAAAAAATTTTTTCCTACATTGAATTTACGGTTAGGAATATAGAAATACTGGTAATTTTAAATGTATGGTAAAAGAAAAAACAGCGTTGAGCCACGCAGAAAGCAGTATAAAGTATAATATATGTATATAGATACTATACATTAGTTATAACGTTATTTTATTAATTATTACAAGATTATAAAGTTGTATATTGCATTGATCTTAATCTCGTTCTATTTTTACAGATTAAGATGATTAAAGAAATACTCCTGTTAGTCCTCGGTTTGACGATAGTTGTAGCGCAAAGAAGATTAGCTTTGCCCGATCCACGTAGCTGTTCGAGCAGTAAGTTATTATCGTACATAAACAAATAAAAAATAAACAAAATGTGATTGCATTAATTCTATTCACATATTTTTAAATTAACGAGTGTGAACAGAAACAAAAATATTTTAAGTCTTTCGAAAGGTTTTTACAAACTCAGTTCGGCTATATGTTGCTTAGTAGGTAACAAAAGGATGTTGCGGTGTGCGGCAGTGTAGTGATGGGTAGAACCCGATTGCGTACGATTTACCTTTTTAAAAATACGATTGCGTATTTTTGCTTTATAACAATGGATATCCGTAAAATGACATGATTGCATTTGCCAAATTGTTGCCAAATTTATAATAATACATTGTTACTTTTTTTGAAAGTTCATTATACGTTTTGAAAAAGTTTCGTTTATTTTAACCATAATTGGTACCTACGTAGAATGAGTTTACAAAATAATATAATTAAAATTAGTTAAAATTACTTTAATACCGGTTTATCTATCAGTAACAAATACAAATCCACTACACACTACATATTATACTTAATAAAAATAACATAATACTAGTTATAAAATAATTATTATTAATGCAAAAATAATAATTCAATACATTTCTTGGTAAATAGACTTTTATCATTTTTACGCTGATCATTAAAGAGCAGATTTTTAGGTTCTTGAAAGCTTAAAATATGATGCTAATATGTTCTAAAAAAACCATAAAATAATCTCTCAATATTCCTTAAACTTGTAAATATGTGATAATAAGATTTTTTTTTCTTAAATAGTTCAATAAAAACAATAAATTACTGTTTTGGGCCATTCCTTTGGTAACAGGTAAATTATTTAAATATAAAAATTTAAAACAGTTCATACATAGGAGAAAAAATATAATCAAATTATATATAAAAAACAAAATAGTTAAATAAAAACAATGAACTACTTGTATGCACCATTACTTGGTAAAAGATAAATTATTTAAATGGAAAAAATAGGTAACAGTTCCATGTATAGGAATATAAATATAATAATCAAATTTTTTTTTCCTAGAAAAATCATAACTCGAGAAATTAATAAAATATGCTTTTTTATGAACAATAAATGAATATATTCAAAAATATGAAAAATAGGCTAGAAATTTTCCAATATCCAAAATATGCTAAAATATGCAAAATAAATGCTTTTCTACAAACTCTATGATAGATAAAATCGTTATATTATAATATCGTCTTTATTAATTTATCCTTGTAAATTTGCATAAAGCCAATAAAAATATGTAGAAACCTAAAAATCCACTTTCTATTGATCATACATTTTTATAGAAGTTTTATTCGTTTAATATTAGATAGAGCCATATTCTTATTAATTCCTTTTGGCGTGAGAGCGTTGCACAAAAATAACGTACGCTATCATGTGAAAACGGTCGAAAAAGGTACCGCTGATAAGCAGCATACGCAATCCGATTCCTCCCGTACCGTATTTCGCAACATTTTTTATTAAGTTACAATATGAATTTATTTAATAATAATAATGCAACACATATACTCACAAATATACAAATATTAATAAATAAATATCAGAATACTAATAATAATCACGAATCATCGCGCAGACATATTTTCGTCATGATTGTCGCGAGACGGGTAGAATGGTTGATAATAATATTAAGAGTATCGGCTATTTTGCGTAAACGAGTCGTTTTTCGTATAAACGGGCCAGGTTATAAAATATATAACCTTAAATGGCTGTCAGGTTTCAACCAGGCATTGAAATAATTATAATATCGATCAATCTAAGTGCAATCTAATGAACGTTTCAGTTAATGATGTCTTTTGCACGCTATTTTTGAGTTTACTAGTAACTAGTTCATAATTAATTAACGGTAGTTTTATATTTACTATTTGTCTTATAATTTCGCGTATTTTATTTTATTAGGAGTAAATAAATAAAATCGTAAAATAAAATGTATAATCATAAAATCATTGAAAAAAGTTTTCATTGTTTTTATTTTCTAAGGATTTTTTAATACATTTGATACGATTTTACTTGTAAAGTATAATAAAATAGTTTTAAATAAGTCAGTTTTTTTTAAAAAATGTATGTGGAATACGGTACGTGTAGGAAATAATCGATAAACATAATATTATGTCCGTATGCTGAAGGTTATATGAAGGTTTTTATAATAAATACCTTCATTAATATTGTTTTTGGAAACGAAACCCGGGTCAAGCCGATCAGACTTTTGTGAAAAATAATTAAAAATAACAGATACAATTTTTTCCAAAAAGTACTTCGTCCATAGAACCTCATTGCATATTTTTGTACACGATTTAAACAAGAAAAATTACTTTTAATCTAATCTACATTTATTGATTGACTGAAATAAAATACTAACGAAAATTTTCGAATAGTTAAAACAATGTACAGTTAAATGTACGTACGAAGTAGTTGTTGGAATTATGAAATATAAACATTTTTAAAATTATAAATTCAAAACGACAATATTTTGAAATGCTGTACGATTATTCCGACTCTGATAAACACGCGTTCGATAAATCAATTGCATTATCCGGTAATAACATCGTAGGTTATGTTTAAAATAACGTTTTAATTGTACACAGATTTAATTGTGTTTAGTGTATTGGTGATTGGAATGTCAACAATATCAAGCAGCATGTTGTTAATTGTGATTATTTGAAATAAATACGTTTTTTGTCCAGGAATTCGTCATGCCACGTACCGAGATGCCCGCGGAGTTACGCATTCATACTTCTTCAGTTGGGAACACGCTCCAACAAAAAGTTTAGAGGTGGACTGGCTGGACGCCAGAAACATTTGCCGAAGACACTGCATGGACGCAGTGAGCTTAGAGACTCCGCAAGAAAACGAGTTCGTTAAACAAAGAATATCTAGAGGTAAAACGTCGTTAGCTGAATATTGAACTCATTGGGTTCTGAGCGGAGAAAAATCTCATAATAAATGCGCGTACAACATCGTAACAATACTGTCCTTTGATTATGTTTTTCTGTAAATAGACTCTGTGCATTATTACACTCCCAAAAGGGTGCGGTCGATTATTATTTATTTTATTATCAAACGACACTATTAAAATATAAATAAATAAACACAAAAATCCAATATTTTAATGCTTTTAAATTTCACAGGAAACATCAGATACATTTGGACATCGGGACGAAAATGCAACTTCAACGGATGCGACCGTCCTGATTTAGTGCCCGCTAATGTTAATGGTTGGTTCTGGTCTGGTTCTGGAGCGAAAATTGGACCGACTACTCAACGTAATTCCGGCGACTGGAGTAACACCGGAGGCTTCGGCCAAGCACAACCGGACAACAGAGAAGCACCACAAGTACGCGCATTAAAGTTTTTTTTGTACAGTGTAACAATATTGAGGTATCTGCATCGAATATTTACGGTCGAAGTTATTGAACAGCTCAAATAATTCGATTAGAGTTTTCGACGATTTTCATGTTTATAAAAAATTCTTAATATTTCGCATCAAACGGATTTCAAGGGAAAAACGAATGTCTTAGCTCAATAAGGCTATTTTTCAAAATGTTTTTATTTTTACTTAGTAGCTAAAATATAATCGTTAAACGCTAACCATGCTGGTTAGAACGGATATTTATGAAACTCCTTAAATTATTAATTAATTATAGTGTTGCAACAAGTCATTAAAATTGGAAAAAACAAAATTAACGCAATTATATCCTAATTACATGATCATTACATACGAAATCGTATTTTATACCTGATTAATGCAAGGTGCATACATATCAAATCATTATTACAGTTATAATTTTATAAATAATGTTAAAGTTGGTAGGTAGGCTTAGAAACTTCTGATGTTATCTTTTCACGCGATAAATATATAATTATAAATGTTCTGTTATTTATAGGGCAACGATGAATCCTGTTTAGCTATATTGAATAACTTCTACCAAGACGGAGTGAAATGGCACGACGTTGCATGTCACCATTTGAAACCATTTGTATGCGAAGATAGTGATGAACTTTTAAACTTCGTACGCTCTCGCAACCAAGGAATTCGTCTTTAAGAAGCAATGTTTATTATTTTGTATTTAAATTATGGTTTGCACTCCGTGTGCATTACATAATGTATTCACTAAGCACAAATATGCACTCTTCAAAGGCCTCAATATTTATTTAAATTTTTATTCTGATAAAATATTTGTTTCCTGTTTTTGACGAATGTGTAATTTTACTATCAATTTTTACATTTTATATTTAATTTTAAGTTTGAATAAAGAATTTTTTTTATATTTTATATAAAATTGAATATTAGAAATATTGTTATTTTTATGTTTTGGTCCCAGTTACAACGAGAAAATTAAGCGATTTTAAATTAATTTTAAATTTAAAATCATTCGACTCGCTTTAACTTTTACTTAATTGATACCGTTATAATGTCATGCAAGCTAAAATACTGTATTGATTTATTTTCTTAACTTCTGGACCTAATCTATCAAAATTATAAAAAAAATTACAAAACAGAAATATTAAACGATACACAACATTGATGTATAATAATTACTAGGGCTAGGATTTATATGCATTTGCATGTTTTTTCCTTAAGTCCAAATCGATTGTTTGTCAAATTTGTCCACGATTTAGCTTACTCTCGTTTAAATAAAATCAATTTTTTTTTGCATATTTTTGCATATTTTGAACACAATGCATATAATTGCATATTTATAGATTTTAAGGTTTTTTATTTTTTTTTTAACTTAAATTTTTATAAATTATTGTTAATTTTAAATGGCGTTTATTTCATAATACCGATAGTTTTTGGTTTATCCGTCGAATTGTAAATATATAGTATAAATATTACCCATCTAATCTTATCTTATCTACGACCGATAGGATTACCTACACATTATTTAACGACGTATTTAATTTCATTAGTACGACGTGTGTTGCGTAAATGTGCGGACACTTATACTTAAAATTTGAGTGGTTTTAATAACAGTATCAGTTAACAATTTTATAAAATGCCGAAAGTTCAAAGTGAAAGTGCCAAGTTACGTCAATTTGTAGAAGAATTTTCAAGTGACATTTTTAAAACAGATGGTAAAATATTATATTGTATTATTTGTGATCAAGCTGTGCCCGTAACAAAACGTTTTCAGGTGGTACAGCATTTAAATACAGGCAAGCATAACAAAAATATTAATTTAAAAGCCAAATCTAAACAGTCGTTCATTAAAAATACATTAGATAACCAAAATAAACAAGCGAATTTTCCTCTAGATTTATGTCAAGCAATGTTAGAATCGGATATACCTTTATGGAAGTTAAGTCATCCATCATTTAAAAATTTTTTAGAAAAATATACTGGTAAATGTGTTCCTGACCAGTCTATAATTCGCAAAAACTATGTTTCTTCAATTTATGAAAATACTATTTCTCGTATTCGTTCGGAAATTGGTGATGGGCCAATTTGGGTTTCAATAGATGAGACCACGGACGTTGACGGTCGATATGTTTGTAACGTCATAGTTGGTCTCCTCCACGAAGACAATTATTCAAAGCCGTATCTATTAATGTGTGAAGAACTAGAAAAATGTAATTTCCAAACTATTGGCAAAATATTTAATGATGCAATGCACCTATTATGGCCATCAGGAGTGAAGTACGAAGAAGTTTTACTTTTTGTTTCTGACGCCGCGCCATATATGGTTCAATCAGCGAATTCCTTGACTATGTTATACCCTAATTTAATTCATTTAACATGTTTGGCACATGGGATTCATAGAATTAGCGAATGTTTACGAAATGAATATTCTACTGTTGATAAATTAATAGCGTCAATTAAAAAAGTATTTTTGAAAGCTCCCAGCCGAATTATCAAACTACGTGAACTATTCCCAAATTTACCTTTACCACCTCAACCAATTATCACTAGATGGGGTACATGGTTAAATGCAGTAGAATACTATTCAAATAATTTTGATTCAATAAAATCTGTAATATCAAATTTAGACGACGAAGCAGAATCAATTAAAAAATCAAAAGAATTGTTTGAAGACAAACATTTACAAAATGATTTGACATATTTAAAAAGTAATTTTTGTTTTCTCATCCAAACTATTACTAACCTAGAAAAAAGTACACTATCCCTTGACGAAGGTTTAAACACTATTTTAAATGTGAAAGATAAACTGAATAAATGTAACGGGAGAGCAGCAGAATTGGTAAAAACTAAAATGGATTTTATACTAAAAAACAATAAGGGATTTAAAACACTATTAAAAATTCATAGAATTATAAACGGTGAATATGAAAATGAAGAAGAAGATATTGATATTAATCTAACTCCAGGGAAAATCGCGTCATTCAAATATGCACCAGTAACCTCGTGTGATGTGGAAAGGAGTTTTAGTCAGTATAAATCTATTCTACGTTCAAATCGCCGGTCGTTCATATTTGAAAATTTGAAACAACATATCATAGTAGCGTGTAATAATATAAACTAATATTTATTGTAATTATATAAACTTATATTTAATGTAATAATAATAAATTATGAATTATGATAAAAATACATATCTAGAAATAATAAAAATTTGTTTTTGCATATTTTTGCATATTTTGGTAAATCAAATGCATATTTTACAATTTGTTATTGCATATAAATCCTAGCCCTAATAATTACCTTTTACATAACTTATAAAATGTATAGTAGTACATTCGTAACCCTTATAAAAGTGGATCTACGAGTACGTGTAGGGAAAAATATAGAGTTGTATATTTATATTTATGTTTCAATCACAAAATTGTTTTGAGTAATTTTTGAACCGTGAAAATAATCTCCAGTTACAAATAATCTCCTAGCATAATTATTGTACGAAATAATTTTTGTATAGGTACGTTGAATTACTTTGAACCATTTTGGTCAGTTAGTGGACTAAAGGAGGAGTTAATTGTTGATATGGTTTTTTTCAATGCGATTTTAAAACAACACTTAGCTTGTGGTGTTTCTACTACTAATGACTATTAGTCCTATCGATACGGTTAACTCGTAAATATATTAATGCACCTTTTCCGGAACTATGATTTGTGTTTGTTGTTACCCTTAGGACCGCCAGAAAAAAGAAATGGGAAATGGCAGTAAATGTAAAATTTGTATTTATTTAAAACGTTTCATGCAATACATGTTACTGAATTAATCGTTTTATAAAATTTGCTATACAAAAAAAATTAGAGTTTTTTGATTCGTCCAGTTATATAAAATATTACACGATCAAAACAGTAATCACGCGAAAAGAATAAAAATGCTTTTCAAATAGTTAGAAGAGCACGTGAATGTCCGGTGAGCGATAAAGGTATTAGTGAACGATGAAAAGGTGGACGAACGCATTGATATGGCGTAAGTTATACGAAATAATATTTCGTAAGAATGACAATCTGTATGGAAAATCTTATAATTATTTCATGAGCGATAAAAGGTTAGGTTAGATTTATTACCTTATCTTGAATTCCACACGGAATTATAATAATAAAAAAGATAATTAATTTCCAGAGATGAAAAATACGATACACATAAATGCAATTTGTATGTTACGAAGGACATTGATCACCATAGTCAACACGCAGGACAATAATAAATGTTTGAGTAAAAATTCCGAACATAAAACGTTCACGGAAATAATGATGCGCAAAAAATGGTCTACATGTAGATTGCGTCCAAGTATAATGTATTCATCGCTGGTGCATTTAAATAGTCATACAAAAAAATTACACTTTTACTTTTGAGGATACCCGATTAATTAATATAATATTTATGCACATTGATTAACACGTAGTATTAGTATAACCATTTTTTTTTCTGTCCACGTTCATCCATAGATATATTTCCGACCAATCTTGAATTTCAACCGTCATCAACTCTAATCGTATGTTTCGAGATGGTAAAATATTTGCGCGCAATTTAACGTTTATATTTATACACCGACGGTTTAAAAACAAACAAGAGTACGGTACTGAAACACGTAAACGTACGGTGAATAAATTATTTTCTGTTCATCCAACCAAACTTTTGAAGATCGTTTTTGATTTAATGGGCACACCGCGTCCATAATGTATTGCGTTTTACACGTTGTGACGGACGTTTGGTCACCTGTTGCGCAGTACTTGCTTCCGTGGCCCTTCTGTCCCGTACCAAGAGGGTACCCCGGGCACTTAGACCTGACTGGTATGTCTTCAGCAGTGTCTCCGCGGTCGGAGCTTTGTGTTTTCAGCCGCTTATAAAAAAAAAATCCCGTTTCAACAGGCACATCACGCCGGTAGGAGTCTATCGATTACTATCGTCATGTCTCATCGGTCGTCGTTCGAACGTCTTGATCAGTAGTCATACATTACTCGCATTTCCATCGGTATTTCCATTGTTATTACGATCGGATGGGTACGATCCTCCGGGATTCTCGAAAAGATCTGCGTACCACCGTTCGCTTTCTACTGATGAAATCTGTGTTTGGTTTCGTTTCGTACAGCGAATAGGGGGCCCGCCGGAGACGCAAACTAGTCGGAAATACCGAGCGGGGGGGGGGGGAGACAAAATAATTCAATACCCACCTATAGAAGAAGAAAAAAATGCTGCGCTCGCATAATGTACACCTACTGATAACACAACTTTACTCTAACAATAAAAACATATTGATTGGAATAATAAATAAAAATGATAACAATCAACAACAAGACGTATCGAACAACAGTAGTAAGTACAATTCAAAACATAACGGGTAAAAATTGTTTAAATTGTATCCAAACTTTGGTTCGTGCTCGTAGACGTGTTTACGGGTGTTGCTGGGTGCGCTAAAGCAACAGTTGTGTTTTCAACCGTATATTATTATTTTTATGAGCTTGGCACATCGATTTGTAGGTACCTTGGTTTAAAGACGATTGGAATCTTATTTTATTTCACGGTAAATATTAAATAATAACAAATATCACCAAGTAGACGCGGGCAGCCGTCCATCACGGTTATCTGCGAGCGTCGAGTAGACATTTAAGAACGTGCGTTACATCAAACAATATGATGGACTGAGTATTATTCGGTTCCCAACGGTCAGTACGTTATGACGCAACAGTAATGCGCTGAAGTAAATCTATTATTAGTGTTAGAATTTCGGCTTTAAATGCATAGTAAACAGATAAAAAATCAAACTTTTGAAGAATTTTGCAACGTTTCAGCAACACCAGATATAAAAGTC